GCGTTGTTAACCTATTGCTAGATTCTGTCGTGAGCAGTGCACATGGCGGATTAACCTCCGTTCGCTCCCGACAGAATCCCTTGTTATTGTCCCCAAAAGTTTTGAAATCGGTTTCCGCTAAGTAGATTTAGTGTTTTTAGTGTTAGTGAACGTTTTAAATTTGTAATAGTTGTCGGCCCCGCTGATTTTTCCTGTTAACGCCGGTATGGAAGCCGGATGGGCCCGGATGGTCCGCGAGGGTAGCGGGGAAGACCATTTTTTGCTATCGGTCAAAGAACTTTTTTTTGTTGAAATTCCATTTTGTATATGTTAATCGACCTGGAGGATGATGAACTGTTCTCTTAGGAAGGTATCCTTTAGGATTTTTGTCGGACATTTGTCGTAAGCTGGTCGAATGACCTAATGTAGTTGTGGCCATTAGAAGTAAATCCAATCCAATCCAACCTATTGATAAGTATTGTTGGAGAACTGTAATAAATTCGAATGTCTCATTTTGTTAATCTCCATAACTTAAAAAACTAAATTTGTTAGAAGCTATGGAGATTAACAAAATGAGATATGAGAATTTATTACTTAATGACCAATTGGATTTAAATCGGTCTCCGGTCCAACTATTACGTATAAATCAAATTTCCGATATTGATAGTGATGGGTGGCTACTGAAAATTGTAGAATACAAGACAAAAGTTTGAATTCTTTATTTGAAAACTACCTTTTTCTTTTTGAAATGCAGCTGCTACTTGATTATTGTGAAATTTAAATTTATAACCCTATACCTGTAATTAAAAATCCATTACTACCTGTTTTTATATATAAGTGTGGGAATATAGTCATATTTTGTATTTGACAAAGGCACGGTGTTGCCGAAACAGCTGTCATAAAGCATTAAAAACTGTGAAAATCTGAACTTTTTTTGTTCTAATATAATTTGTGTTTAACCATATTATCCACTTTGAGCACAAGATGTTGTGAAATGTCACTTTCGTATCAGTCGTTTTTTTATGGGAACACATCTGATTTTTAAGGACCATTTCTGAAATTTTATGAAAAACTCACTGGTTCAGAATTATTTTTTTCAAAGAACTTCGGCATTCTGCGAAACTTGTGGCCCTGAAACTGATAATCGATTCCTCCGCATTCACTTTAAATATTGACGATGGCATGGAGGGGCGGGTTCATTGCATTATGGCATTATAGAAAACCGATAGAAACCTACGTCGCGGCTTACGTTTTTAGGATATTTGGTGATCAGTCTGACTTCGACAAATAACGACATCAGCAGTTTCTTAGAATTGTCACTAGACGAGACGCGAGATTTTATTCCGAAGATCAAAACACAATTTCTCCTATCGATGAAACATTCGAGATTATCAAAATCACCAAACATTCTTAGAACATTAATTGTGACATAATTTTCAATGTCTCTTCCATTTGAGATACGATCATCCATGAAGTAATTAAACCCCCTCCCCATTCCCCTTTGCAGCCGTCTGGTATTGAAGGTGTCTTCAGAGAAATCGGTCTACAGCATATTTGGCGAGACGTCAGCAAGAGAAATGCAGAAATCCTGAGCGTACATGGTCAAGCACTGGCTCCGTTCGTTACTAAATGGCATCTATCAAATTTGTTACATAATATAGTATCCTGTTTTAATTACGGAATAAAATAGATGATTGTCTTTTTAGATATGTGTCGCGTACTGTCCCAATATATATTATTATGGTGCAAGCACAGTACTTGCTATGGTTGAATATCGTTATTTTATTTAATTTTTTTAAATTAAATGTCCTATTGCAAACTTAAAAAAAGCGAAGTCTAATCTTACGGCTACTCATATTTAACTATATATATACTTTACTATATACGGAAATTACAACATGAAAATATAACGGGAATTTTAACACCAAGCGAGGTTAACGATGTAAAGATTATCATTTAAATTTTACTAATTATTAAATAAAAGGAGAAACCGACTAGCGTACTACAGAAAACTGAGCCGGGAGCAAGGAGCGTTTGAACTCTCTACGAAAGCTGTTAGATCTTTGAAAAAGAATATCTTTGTGATGGTTCAAGGTATCAGATGTAGACTACGTGTCAGCTGATATCCGTTGCAGCGTTGAATAATCCATTTTAAAAATCGTTTCGAACACGCCTGTATATCGCTAATTCGATGCAAGGCAAATTGTGAAAAATATTGATGAATATTTAATATGTAAAGGATTGGTTAAACAAAAAGTTTCAAAAGAAACCTGCCTAGCTCCAAAAACGCTAATATTTCGATAAAAAATAATGTTAACAGTGAATTATTGAATGAAATAAAAAAAACACTGTTATTTTCAATGTCACCATCTGGCCAAGATAAGATATGGAAGAAAATATATTCTCTTTATCAAAACCAGATTGTTCCTACATTGCATACTTAAAAAGGAAACTAGAAGAAAATGCCATATTCCATAGTTATTTACTTGTAAAATGGGATTTAAATACCGCAAAATTGACAAGAAACAAGTTGAGCGCGGGGATAGACTCGTTTAATTTAAAATTGCACCTTCTTTAAGCTTCCCAACATAGGATTCTCAGAAATCAAATAGATTATATCATCAATTAACCAAGACTTATTCAGGCGCAGACATATCATGGGACCATAACCCTGTTATCTCATCCATAAACATCAAATTAAAAGCAATCAAAGAACATCATCTGTACAATATATGAATCCTAGAAGACTTAAAGAAGAACCAATATACAACAAGACCAAGCAAATGGTAAATGACAATCTGAAGAGAAACAGGATGCTGGAACTGGTAAGGAGAAATTAAAGCCTGCCAAAGGAAAATGAAATCCCTGGATGGAAAAATGGATGGAAAAAAGAAGACAACACAAAACAAATGAACCATGTAAATATAAAGAAGCCCAGAAAGAAGAAAAATGCCTATCTGAATAAAAGAACTAGACAAAAAATATGGCAGCTTGAACTTACATAAGAAGACCTAAGAAATGACTGAACTCTGGAGTAGGAATCATTAACATATTCTTAAAGATAGCGCGGAGAATATAATTGGAGATATAAAGGAGAAAATAGCGGAATGGACGAAATAAGATTCCAATTAAACTAATAAAACTTATAGTTGACCTGGCTTCAGTCAAATTTCGTTGCGATCCCTAAGAATTCAAATTTCACAACCTGTGCCGACCATAGAACCATATCCTTGATAAATAATACGTTAAAAGTGTTTCGTAAGGTTGTACAGAACCGAGTTTGCAGAACCCTCGAAGCGGACATAAGTAACACTCGGTTCGGTTTTAGAAATGGGAATGAATCAGGATATATACCTAGCGTTCGTTGACTTGATATACCGAAGATATTGAAATATTGAGGGGCGTACGAGGCAAGGCTATATTCCAAAAAGCATTCGCCGGATAAAGATAAATGGCGAAACTCTTAACAATTTTAGATTTGCTGATGATATAGTTATTATCGTCGACTTGCAAAACCTAATGAATCGAATAAATACATGCTGCAATGAATACGGTCTAAAGATCTAAACAAAATTTATGGTCGTTACTAAATCACCTGGCATAAATATCTATTTAGTGCTTAAACAACACGAACGTCCAAAGAGTGGACTCGCACAAGTAGTTCGGAACGTGGATAACTTCAAACATGGATCAGACCAAAGAAATAAAAGCACGAATTGAAAACTCTTTACTAACAGGGACATGAATTTGATCTTGCATGTGAGAATGTTACGTAGTCTTTACCCTTTTATATGGTATGGAGGCATGGACGCTAAAGCAGATGCAAGCCAATAAACTGGTCGCGTTTGAACTCTGGTGTTACAGATGGATGAAAATATCGTGGACCGAAACTATCTCAAACGTTGAGGTTGAGGTTTACAAAAGGATGGGATGCGAGCCGCAAATTCTTGTAACTATCAAAAGGAGCGAACTTGAATGCCTAGGACATTTAATGAGGGCACCAAGATAATATAGCTTGTTGCAACTGATTGTAAAGGGGAAGATCCGAGGTAGACGAAGTGTCAGAAGGCGAAAAGTAAGCTGACTGAGAAATTTGAGGGACTGGTTCCCTGCAGCAGCACTGAACTGTTTAGAGCGGTTGCCAACAAGGTAGGCATTGCCATGATGATTTCCAACCTTGGGTAGAAGATGGAACTCTGAGAAAAAGAGCAAATTAAACAATATAGACCAGAAAACAGAAGTATACTTTACCTATATGAAACTTGGTTCAATACACAGAATACAGAATTGAAAGGATAGAGCGATCCTTAAATTGGCAACAAAATAACATATTGGTAGCCTATTGTATTTAATCTTAATGACCACGAAGTGAAAGTGCAGTGAAAATATTTGGATAAAATCGTACTTATTTTGAAAATACTTTACCTACTGCAGGTGTTTTATTGCAGTCGGCGGGGAATTTCGGTATTCGGCCGTCAAAATATAAATATATAATATAATATTATAAAAATCATAAAAAGAACAAATAAAAAATAATAATAATATCTTTATTGGTAAAAAAGATAATTAAAAAATGTAATAGAGAAACAGAATTAAAAAAGAAAAAAATAAAAATAATAACTTTGCAAGAATTCCAAATAGTATAAAATACGAGTAAATGTTAAGACTAACTAATTCGTGATAGTGAAGTTGATCGTATAAGGTGTCCCATTTTGGCATGTATTTCGTTGAAATTTTTATTCTTTTTTATAGGTCTTGCTTATCCTGTACGTTTTGAATATTTTCTATTGAACTTGTCCGCCACATCTGTTACGCATGATTGTATATAAATCGAAAATTGAAACTAACAGAATTTTTGAACATTGTAAAAAAGCAATTATTGGTAGAAAGTAATGGACAATCTAGTAAACAACAAGTCTCATTAAAAAAAATTTGATTTCTCGTATTTCAAACTAAATTTAAAAAAAACTTACTCTATTGGTAACACCTTAATTGAAACTATAACGTTATCTTTGTTGCAGTTGACTCCAATGGCGAAGGTCCGAAGCTGAAATGCAACCTGAGGAAGCACAAGCCGAACCGAAAACCAAGAACTCCTTTCACAACGCAACAACTGCTAGCTTTAGAAAAGAAATTCAGAGACAAGCAGTATCTTAGTATAGCCGAAAGAGCGGAGTTTTCGAACTCGTTGCGACTGACTGAGACGCAGGTAAAAATAAATAAGCAGCGTGATAATATCAGTTTTCGTCTTTTAGTTAGACGTTGATTAGCTTATCTGAATTGCTGAATTAATAGTTTTTATTTGTATTATCTGACATACCCTATTGCCATGTTGAAAGTCGAAGAATTATCTTGCATGCTTCAAAATTTCATACTCACTTTGTGGCAATTTCTAGCTAAACTGCGATCTCCACATACTTTACTTTTTTTTTTTTTGCTGAAAATTTAATGGGATTTGGGCACACTTTAACAGAATACTGCTCTATTGATGAACTGCCAACAGCTATGTTGATTTTAGGACAGCGTTTTACTGGCTGAAAACGAGAGTTGAATGAAGAAATGAATAAATTATACACAAATGATGCCTTAGAGTTTGTCGGGGATAATTTATATATGCTTAGATTGTACTTGTAAAAGAAAACCTTCAAGAAATGTTAAAAATTACTAAAGCGTTGGGAAGTCTAGACGTATTACATAACTAACAATTCCCACTAATTTTAAATCAACACTCTAGAAGAATAGGTAGTTAGATGACTACAATATAATTTAGTTTTCTGTTATTTAATTTTAATTTTATTTAATTAATAGATTATTGCATATTGGCAGCATTCTTCTGATTTCTTTTTAATTTTTGTCATGTGGCCGTCCTCCAAATTAGTCATCCAAAAGGTACGGGTGTTCAATCCATAACAAAAACGGCCCGTGCAAAAATGCTTACGTTTTTGGCTACATGTCTGCAATTAAGTTGAGGGTGATCATTTTCAACATTTCAATATTTTCTTTAGTGATTAAAGGGTTAAAAAAATTTTCATAAACATATGCCAACATACAAAAAAAAACTTAAGAGTCGAGAAAAAGTTCTGTTTTTAATAAATTAAATAACAAGAATTGGAAAAAAAATAAGTGGCTTATATTTCTTTGACGAAACTATTCTATGATACCTTCCGAGGGTTTAATCTAGTTGAAGCAAAACTAAAGAGCTAATTGCAATTATAACTGAGATTGCCAAATTGCCACCCACAAAATTCTTGTAAGCTATTTTTTTCTTTTTTGTTTTTGATGAAGAATCTCAGGCCGAATGTAGGCGCGTTTTTTTTTCAAAAACACCCTGTATATTATTTTGTAAGTCAGATAGGATATCATTAAATTGTGTATGTTTAAAAATAGTTGTATTATTCCTGCAATTTAAATACTATGAATTTTTCCATAGTAATCTAATTTCTAAATCTGATCCCATTAAGGTATTAATAAGCAATCATTTTCATCTGAATACGAACAGTCAAAGAAGAAGTAATTAAAAAAAGCTTGTGTTCGACGAAAAAGAATCAGAATTAGAATCCAAATTTTTCAAATGTTTTCCAGCTTCCAATTGGGGCAAAATTTTGCAGCTATAATTTCTGTGCTATAACACAGTGTTTAAATTGTGTCTAGTATTGTTTAATATTTAGAGAAACTTCTAATTTCTGTTCGTGCTATTAGTGCTAGAAGGCAGTAATCGTTTATTTTTTATATTTTATTATCCAACCGGAAGAAGCAGGCAATACCTACCTAGTTCTAAACAAGAGGGAGGTAAATAAGTTGCTTATTTTTTTGAATTTCGGGCAACAATTAAACTTTGATTCTTTTGTTATATTTGTCTTAATGCCGAATAGGTAATATCCAGCAAATTTCGAAAAATGTTCGGTCAAGAGCATTAATTAATTTTAGAAAATATTTGTTTTATAATTTACTTTGCAAATTTTAGTTATTCTAATCTATTGGTCATTATTTGCATTTTTTTTTTGCAAGTCTTCCTCTTTTCAGGTGAAAATATGGTTTCAAAATCGCCGAGCCAAAGCGAAACGCCTCCAAGAAGCAGAATTGGAGAAGCTGAAAATGGCGTCCTTAACACGCCACCCGCATCCCCTGTACCCCCACCCAGCCCTGCAGGGTTATTTCGCATCGGGGGCTCATCCGTTGGCTTCTTTATTAAGTGCGAGGCCCCCTATGGGTCCCCTGAGTCTCATTCCTCAGGCGCCACCTCCCGTGCCCTCCGCTCCACATTTGACGGCTTCGCCACAAGGATGTGTTCGGACCCCCAGCCCCCGAATGTCCTAAATTGCGAGTTTAACGTTTTTATTGTACAGTTTGTCTTTGAGGTTGGTAAGAAATTCTACAGAACGACAAACAGGGTTCGAAAACGAAAAAGTTTATGCAATTTGCAACACCCATTTTCTTAAAGACTTTTTGAATATGTTTTTTAAGTGTTTGTTGACGCTTTTACATTTCTCCAAATTGTTGTTATATAGAATTTCGCAAATATTACCAGGAATGTTGAAATAGTCACAAAATATGCGGGAAAGCAATAATTACTGTGCATTAAATTTATTTTCCCATAAGAAAATAGTTATCGTTGCAGAGCAACGTTGACCATTTGGCAGGTTTGACGCCACAGATGTTTTTATTTGACAGCAGCTCTTAATGACATGGCGATCATATTGCTTCGCTGCCACCATTATGTGATTGGCAGCTTTTTGTGTTTTACCGCAATCCTCTAGCATGAATATATTTTGAAAATGTTTGCTCAAAATTTTACTAGAACCTACCAGTCTCATTGCTCCCTTGGGACTCACTCATTGTTTTGATTTTCCAGTGACTCTGATTATGGTTCTGTAATTGCAGACATTATTTTGTATTCTTAAATCTGGTTCCACATTTTTAATGTCCCGTTGAATTTGTTAATCGTCAAGCAATGGGTGCAATCACTTTATTATATTGTGTTTCCCACAAACTTTGTGACTATGCAACTATAAACTATAAACTTGTGATTATTTTGTACATAGAACTATTTATTTTGAAAAATGAAAGTTCGAAGGTTATATGTGCCAAAAAGATTAATTTATCGAGTTATGTATTGACCTTTTGGAACTTTATTTATGAATGAAATGACTTATCTTTAAACACAGTGTCCATGAAAATTACAGAACCTTTGTTGTTGTTAACATTTATAGTCCAAAATGCAATAGTAATTCTTACTATGCGTTGTTTGTTTTGGTGCCTAATCACGCCAAATTTTTTTCCATTCAGCAATTAGACAAAACCAGCAGGTTTAGCTATGCTGCTGAGATAAGGGTGAAAAGAAACGATTCAGAAACATAGTGACTCGCACACATGTATAAAAAATGATATAAACTAGATGCCCGTGCAAATCGTTTGTTAATACTGAGTTAATTAAAATCTTTTATTGACAACACTCTGTGAATTCAGTGGGAAAAGTGCCAATATCAGAATAATAAAAAAATATTTTTTTTTGATGTTTCGTAGAATTGGGGTATTAGAGTAAGTTATCAAGTACCTACCTTTATTGTTCGTAATTCTCAATTTCTCTTTAAGCCTAACAGTTAAATTTGGATAATTGGATTGATGGAAAAGTTAAAAGTCGAAGGTAATTAAACGCTAACTACGAATTGAATAAATTAACTAAATGTTTTTAAAATTGCATGACCTCAAAATGTTTTATCTCCTTCAATTCCGATCTCGAGGATCCTCCACGCTCATAGCAATTAATATTATGGCGCTAAAATGCGCGAGATATTGACTTGTTTGTTGTTATATTGGGTGGTCCCAAGCTGCCGTATCTGTAAAACGAGTTGCTTAATTAATTATGTGATAACCGGAGAAATTTGATTTGGCATTGGACGATTAGATTAGTAAATTATTTATTTATGATATGCTCGTTGGAACCTCTGTTACCCTAGTTTACAGACATTAAGCCAATAACTTTATTTTTAGTACTGCAAATTTAAAAAAATAGCTTGAACATGAACGTGTTTTCGGTCGGTAAGAAGCAAAACCCTTCCAAAACTGATGAAACCAAATTTCTTCACTCCAGTAAAATTAGTTAAATGTTGAAGTATAGGACCAACGGGTGCGTGCGTTCCCAATGTTAAAGCCATTTTTAAATCGTTAATTACCTGTATGCAAATTGCTGTTTACTTTATCGAGTACGAAGCTGACATGCGAGAACTGCTTATTAATGATTTAATTGCGGGTTGTTCCCGCTTTAATACACTCTAAAAAGCTGCTCACAACGGACTTAGCCGTCCCATTAGTATGGGGGTTATTTTTTTATTAAGCCCGTTAATTTGTTTCATATTGGACTACGAGTAGGACATAATTCAGTTGAAGTGTCTTGGCTCTCGGGGTTGTCAAGAAGTATTATTTTGCTTAAAATTTATTCCAGTGACATTGATAAAAAAGCCGCAATTCAAAATAACAAAATTAAATGAGTAAGACTTGACGAAGACAGAATTATAACTACCATTGACACTAAATTATGCTTAAGTATACTTAATAACCAGCAGCCAACACTAATCCTTAATTCTTTCTTAGTGAAAATCCTAGTGATGGAGGGGGGTTATTTGATCGGGCTATCACTATCTTCAATTAATATGTACTGTAACTCTACTGACTCCTTGGATATGAGTTCATCGGTAGTCTTTAGTGATGGTAAGTTTGAGTATTATCAGTGCAGGTTTCAATAAACATAGACAGGATTTCACGTAATAGCAGCAAAAGCTTCTTCATTAAGGAAATGAGCTTATATTTAACATGAAGTACTTTACAGAATAATCATAAAAATAATAATAATAATACTGTCTTTATTTTCGAACATAAATTTTACAAATGAATATCGAGAAGTAAGTAAATAAATGTTCAAAAAATTAATATTAATTAATAATTAAAATATTAATTTTAAAAGAAGGAATTAGATTGCTATTTACAAAACTTCTGGATTCCTCCTGCGTCGGTTGATGTTGAATCGTTCGCCAATCATCCTGTTGGCTTCTTCAGAGCTTAACTGAAACGTCAGCAAGTTCGATTCAATAATAACCGACCCAGGAGGAATCCAGAAGTTTTGTAAATAATATTACAGTAGAATGTGGAAGTTTCTTTGAAAAAATAGAATTTGATTTTTTTGTGATAATAAAAGCTTGTTTATGGCGTGAAGTTTATTTTTTGGAGGTTCTTGGTTTGTCTAACTTTTAGGAGGAATTTTTAATAATCTGACAGTGTGTTACGATTTTTAGATTACTAGGAGGAAACAACAGAAATTGTATAATTTATAACTTTTTTATTCAACTCAAAGATATACAAACAATGCATAAAAAATCTTAGCTTAAATAAAAAAAGTTACAACTAATCGTACAAATAGGGATTTTAATTTTGACACCCAATATATTGAAAACAAAAACAAAATGGTTAACGGATTGAACTACCTTTTCATAACACTCTGTTTAGGTATACAATAAAATTATAAAAAAGGAACTTTTTGATAGCTTTGATAATAGATTGATTATTGGTATACTTTATATTTATTTTATTTATTATATTTAATTTATTTAAGATAGTACTTACGATAATGATCTGGAACAATTGCAACATGCTGTTACAATTGAACAATTCTGATCTTTTCATGTGAGAGATATAACATGTTAAAGCACAGGTAATAATTTTCTAGTAAAATATATTTTCCAACATTCGCCATTCATCTACTGCAAAAATAACCGAGACCTTCGCATCTTCCCATTTTCGCATTAATCTCGCGATCTTCGTACTTCATTTCTTTATAAACTGTCACGTGATGTTTAGTAATTATAATTTAAGACCTTTTTAATTGGTTGTAAAGTTATACAGTCTTTTAGTACGTTTATTTTCGCTTCGCCGAAGATTTATTAGATTACTTTCCAGAGTTAAAAGCTTGTTTAAAATTATGTTAGGCACATGTGTCATGTAATTATATATCTTTGGATTCCTTTTTTTGTCGGCGACTTTTCTTTTTTTTTTTCGGTGCGTTTAATTCAGCGTCTGCATAAAGTGACGGCCTGTGCCAACAGAAAGAGGCCAAAAATTGAGCGTTCGTTACAAACTTCATTAAAGCTATAAACGCTAGGGCGGATACGGGTGGAAGACAAGTAGAAACATTTTTTAAACCTCACGTGTGCGCAATTTTCTCGAGTTTTTCAATAAATATTTAATTTGAATTATTTATTTTGGGAATATTTCGAAACTTTGATTTTTTAATTGTCCTCATGGACAATCAATCCATACACACATATAATACCTGTTACTAAGGTCACTTTCCATATTTTCACCGAAAGACAGTAAAAATATAAAAAATGCAATAATATAAAAATAACACTTTTATATTTCTCTCTAAATTTTAATATTTTCAAAACGTCGACCATATTTGCTTTTAACCAAGAACTGCGTATCGCCAGTCAATATGTTAATTACAGAAATTATAAGCAATTAGGCATCTTAATTTTAAACTTGATGCAATTGGTACAGTAATTGTTATTGTTTAATGATTCTATTCGAAACAAATTAATTTCATTTGGCTTATCTGTATTATTTGAATTCGTCGAGGTTCAAAGGCATTCGAATCTAAGGTCAAACAGCAAATTATTTTATAACGTCAACTGAACTCAATTCTGTAAATGATTTGTGTATTTTTATCTCAACCCAGTCTTAAGCAGACAAAAACATGTTAAAATTGTTACATTTCTCAAAAGTGCTAAAAGTTTTGCCCTAGTAGATTTATGAATGGATACTTTGGTTATAGATACGTTTTTCGATTTGTATATTTAGAAATTAATTTTGGCATAAAACTGTAACGAAACAAAAGTGTAAATAAACTGTACAAACATCTGTATTATAACTATGTAGAGTGCATTTTCGACATAAATGTATGTGTATTATATTTATTATAATTTTACTTTATATAAATAGATTGTTGAATATCAATTGAACTAATAGTAGAAGGGGGTTTCATTTGGAAGATTATATTCCGAGGATGTAAGACAAAGTGCTTCACCATAAATACCACATAAATATCGCGAATGTGTTTCATTATTTCCTTCAGTATCCAGTACTACATCCATTCAAAATACACGACAAAAACAATATCAGAAATTACAGGCTCAAGTTTTTTCAAGCTGCATCTACAATCCATCTAAATAAGAAAATCAATACATAATGTGTGGATTTCACAGAGTTAAATGCTACTAAGTAAGATAAGTGCGTGAAAAATTTTGAACGGTCAGAAAACTGCAATTTGTAGGTGCAAAAATTTTATCAATGGCAAACTAACCAAACCTTTTACAGCTGCCTAGAAATGCGTTGGGGTGGGGTGGGAGGGTGCTCTATAAAGTTCGAGATGCAAGAGCACAAAAAAGCGATTTCATTTAAAAGGTAAATAACGTACCTAACAGGAAAAGCTATAGCCTTAAGCAGTTCTTATCCGGTAAAATATAAATTAGTTGTAAAAAACTAAGATTCCCAAAAAAATTGCATCCGTCTGAGCTAATATTTTGCATTTAAGTTTCTTGATAATAT